CTGAAGAGGAAAATGTAACTAATCCCCCAGCAAAGTACTTCAGTTGCATGTCAAAACGATTAAAGGATGCAAATGTAAATCTTCGGTTAGAAAAACCACATTCAAGAACCACATTATGTAAAATTGTAAATACATATGCCATTTCATAAGCACAGAATTACTAAGAAATCAATATCTCAAGTCATATGGGAAGGAATTGAAAGGACAGTTATATACAAAAGAAAATGAATGAAGGATGTACATATACAACTTTACTTAGCAAAACCTCAGGCCAGAACCTGAAATTACGATAAACCAATATGCTACTCCACTAGCAAACAAGTACATATAAATAGTAACGTCTCAAGTCACAAGGGAAGGATCAAAATCAAATTATGGACAAATAACACATGATATGTAGATGAGAAAAGGTATTAGAAAAAGGTGAGAAGGGGCTACAGCAACCACATTCAAAAAGTTCTGTAAGAAGCAATTGAGACACCCACAATTTCTATATACAGAACTATTTCGATTTACATAATCTTCAAATTCATCAGCACTCATACAACAACAAACAGAACCCATTGTGCCAGCCTCTAGCTCTCTTTAGCTTAAAATATTTCCCTCTTAAACTGCTCAGCTAAAATAGATAGTGCAAGTACATATAAATAGTAACGTCTCAAGTCACAAGGGAAGGAATCAAAATCAAATTATGGACAAATAACACATGATATGTAGATGAGAAAAGGTATTAGAAAAAGGGAGAAGGGGCTACAGCATACCACATTCAAAAAGTTCTGTAAGAAGCAATTGAGACACCCAAATTTCTATATACAGAACTATTTCGATTTACATAATCTTCAAATTCATCAGCACTCATACAACAACAAACAGAACCCATTGTGCCAGCCTCTAGCTCTCTTAGCTTAAAATATTTCCCTCTTAAACTGCTCAGCTAAAATAGATAGTGCAAAACCCAAGTTTTGAGAAAAGAGCCTCCAACAGCATAAGCTGTGCTCTGATCAAGAAGCGAGAGAGGATTCTAAGCTCGCAGAAGTCCCACTGCCCCCGCAAACCAGCCCCCTCCCTCTTTAATTCAGATGCCCCTGCAAAAAGAATAATCAACTCATACTCGTCTTTCTTACATGAAAAGTGCAACAGAATCGAATAAAAGACTATAGAAAAGGTGGGAAAGCTATCAAGGCTGTCATTCAGGCAATTCAAGGCAATTCATACTTCAGTAACTAACATTTACTTTAGAAGCACCAAATGCTGTCATCGAGCAATGCAGCCAATGTCCATGGTCAAAAGCACTTCAAAGGTTACCAATGGAAGATCAGGAGTGCAATATACGAGCAAGCCGTTCAAAACAAAGAAAAACAATACAACTAAGAAATTAATATCGAATAAAAAAACAAAACTCCAAATTTATTTGCTTCGAGGAAAAGATTTCGGTTCTCTGCCACAAAAGGACAATTTCACCTTGACATTTTTCCTCCGAATTGGGAAAAAAATGATCCTTTCCTTCAGTAGTAAGACACACCGATGGATGAACTAACACGAAAATCATTGCTTTCCCATGGCATATTATGATCGCTATTACCAACAAACATGCCAACAGGCAGTCAAGTTCAAACGAGGAATTCGGACGACTAGAAAACCACAGATTACGGGAGAAATCGCATTCAAATTGTCTGAGCGTATCAAAGAAGAAAAATCGACCGAGAAAATTGACGAAAAAGAATACACCCAGTTGAGTTTATCAAACTACGAGACAATCGGAGTGTTCAAATCCACTATCGGATGCAAAAGTAAAACTGCGCAGAGAGGCTTGATGTTAGAAAGAGGAAATACCTGAGCGAGACAGAAAGAGAGAGAGCTGATTGGTAGAGAGAGAATTAGATTGAATGATGATCTTCCGTGAAGACAACGACAGAGGAAGCAGGAAGTCCGAAATTCGGTGGACTAGATGATTCGGAAATCTGATTCTAAAAAAGGATACAATCGTGGGGCTTTTGGAATTTACGGCGAGAATAGCTATGAGTCCACCAAATTAAGGCTGCCCTCCTGGTCTCTCTCCTCTTGTTCCCTTGGCTTGGGTGAGAACCGAGAAGGAATCAAACCCCAACTTTTACTTATAATTAAATAAAAGACTCAAGAGGCAGCCTCACTCCTGTTAATCCCGGCCCCATTCACAAAGTTGCACCGCCTGCGTCGATCGAAATTGAAATTTAAAAAAGCAAAACAAACGAAAAATATTTTTCTTCTCTCATCTACGCGCATGATTCAATGCGGCCCTCCTTGACATATTCATGACAACAAGGCCAAAGATGGTATCGGTATTCGTTATGGCGAGCGATACAATCCGTGCTTTTGTGACCGAATCTGTACCGTAACTCTTACGCTAACGCGCGAACGTTAGTTATTCCTCAATTTTCATTTGCAAATTAACAGAAAATCACGACAAAAAAGAGTGAACAGAGAAAAAAACGAATATGCATTACTAACTCATCTCCTTAAAACTAAATAACTAATTTACAAATACTAAAAAACGAATTTAATTATTTTATTATCTATGATAAATAAGTATTATATTTTTAAAAATTATATATTAATTATGCGTATTAGTATGAAAATCTTTTAACATATACAATCACTATATAGGGACTACTTTAAAAAAATGAATTAAGATTTTTTATTTAAAATTAAATTGGATATCTAACTAGTTTTTATATTTAGGATGAGAGGTAATATGGTGGGTCTAATAACCTAGATAATACCAAACACCTTGTTTTGGTAACAACGAAGCGTAAATATAACAAAAATGTGTGTGGTGTGGGTAACATACATGCCTTATATTTTTCATAGTATATTTTATTTCGTTGAATTATATGGTATTATAATCTGTAAATTCGTGCTCCAAAAAATATAAATTCAAAATTTATCTAGCTGTGTATGCTGATATAAACATGTAATACTATGGTGTAAATATAAATAACTTATTTTAGTTAAAACACCGCATTCACATATACACCTTTTGGTCAACGATATCGTACATTCATATGGAAAACAACATGTAGAAATATTCCCAAAGTTGCTTACTGGAGTAGGTGTGCCAAAGAAGAATTTGCTTTGACTAGTTCTCCTTTGTTTTACCGCAAAACAAGTCTTTCTAGGAAATTTTTTTTTGTCCATTATTATAAATGTTTTTAGAAATCTAAAAGAGCATTTGTATATTTTTCAAGCTGTGTATGATGATTTTAAAAACATTTATATTCTAAACAGGGGGGGCTAATTTTCTTTTGTCGGAGAAAAAGAAAGGTAGTTTCCTTTCCCTTTCTGGAGTCACTATTTTTTTTGCCCCTAAACCCTTTTGGAGTCACTTGCGAGTTGCGACAGCGTCTCCGCTGAGATGGGTAAACAATATTTCCGTGAAGTTGGCCAAAAAAAAAAAAAAAAAACATTTCCATGAAAGTTTCCAATGTGCCGAGGACACATCCGTTTGTTTTTGCTTGCAGTCACACAGGCTTGGGCTTTTCGCAAAAAGAAAATGAAGTGACACGGGCTTAATATTCTCTTATATAACCCATCGTGTTTGGATAAAACAGGAGGTTTTGTTTCTCATAAAAATAGTAATCAAAGTTTAAATTTTTACGGAAAAAAATATTCATATTAATGCCTGATAACAACTCATATAGGACTATTTCCAATAGAAATATGTCTATTCTTAACAAAAGAAAATTCTCTTGCACTTCTCTTGTACTCCTCTTTTCTATTTAATTAAAAGACAATCACAAGTCTTAGCACAGTTAGTATTTAATTAAGTTTCTTAACATCAGCACCCAACCAAAAAAATGATCAAAAGACTGATAGAACTTTTTTATCCTAAATTACATTATTCAATTTATCATACAGATGTATAATTTTATTTTTTTAAGTAATTGTTTTGTAGACTATGATTTTCGTGAAAAAATATATATTAAATAGAAGAAAAATTTGAAAGTTATTAAATTTTAAAAGAGTTAGAAAATTTAAAATCTATTTAATTCTAATAAACTATATTGAGACTGCTTTATAAGTAAAATCAGAGCGGTATGCTATCAATGCAATCTACCAACAACCGTTCATTGCATTTTTCGATTTTTTTCCCAATAAATTATAGATTATAATAATACTTGAATAAGACTTTCTTTATTCTTATTTACAAGTGGCTTTCAACTAATGCACATAAATTAAAAGCATGTTTTTGGAGTGAATCCTAAAGCATGGGTGACACATAAAATTGAATGATTGGTTTAAAAAAAAAAAAAAACATAAGGGCCTGTAATGATAGAAACCTACAAAAACAGGATCAACTGTGATGAGCACTAGGCTCCTCGCATATGTCTGGTATCTAATAAAGAATGTTTATCTAATAAGAACATATCGGCGTTTTAACTCAGCCGATTGACGATTGATGGAGCAACAATTCAATCCAGACTCTCCAACGCGAAAAGAGCCTTAATAATGGAGCTGTGAATTCCATATGAATCGGTACATGACTTGAGCCTCCAGAGAATGACAATTAAGCCCAGGGCCACATAGCCAGCCACTCCTATAATCAGACTACATGGTTGCTTTTAATAGTTCATCCCAATGACTCTTTTAATTCAAGGACAGCAATGGATGTAACATTCATCCTGGGAGCATTTGGGTGTAAAATGAAATCACGTGTTTCATGCAAATACATGCCTGACACTGTTATCATCTAAAAGCTTTAATGGAATTCCCATTCCAATCTTCCCAACAGTCTGGCTGCATACCACTTACAGTTCTGAGTCGTGAATCCCATTAATGAATCAGTCTTTCACCGTTTTCTTATTAAGCGGCTGAAGCCAATCATTGAGAATCTTCTCTAAAATACATTTGTTCTTCTCCCACAAAGTGACAAAGACATTTTTCTTCAACTCAATCTTCTTTCAAATCCCATGCACCCATCACAAAACAATTGAGATTATAACATAGTAAACTCATAGGCAGCTCTCTGGTGGAAGAATTTTCTCTCTCGGAAGTTTTCCTGCATCAACATTTTCTTTATTGCTTCCTTTTCCTGCTACTTTCTTAACTCCAAGTGCATTTCAGAGTTCAAACCAATCTTAAACTTCAAAAATAATATGAAAAAGCATCTCCTATAAAACTGCATCACATGGTCGTGGCCACCACAGTTTATGACTGCTCCTCCTGTGAATCCAGCAAAGACATACTTTCTCTGTGTAATTGTTGGTCATCTGTCATGTCCTGTGGACTCACAGAATATGTGGCTGCTCTCCGTGTCTCGTGAACCAACGGGACTCCAACTGTATCTATTGGCATCTTTAATACCCACTAAAGAACAAACCTTCAACTAAATTGTTCACAGAATGTAGGAGCTTCTCTTTATCTAAACCTTCCCCTCCTCCGAATTACCTTCGTCATTAGACGTTTGGTCGAGGGATATCAGACCTACATTCACTGCTTTCTAGGTTACAGTTGACTGGGTTTTGCATGATTGGAATAAATGACCTGTTTTTGCAGGTCTATATAAGAGGTGTCTCATTTGATTTTCTTATCATGCACATCGAAAAAGAGTCCAGGAAAGATAAGAAAGAAGAAGAGACACACGAGAGCATACTTTGAGCAGTGAATAAGGCTACAGGCCGTCACCTTGTCTTTTGAAGCAGAATCTCTCAGAGAAAAATCCGTAAGAATGCCTTGGTTCCTCGTAATTCTGTTTCTCAGTCTCACATTTGGTAATGTCTCAGAGGCCACGAAGCATCCTTCTGCTGCCGTTGTGGTTGGCACTGTCTACTGTGACACATGTTTTCAACGGGATTTCCCCATGAGCAGCCACTTCATTTCAGGTGGCATCTCAATCACATTCTTCACTTGAGCCTTCCCATATTTGATGCTAATGCTATAATTCTGTATTCTTGCGTACAGGGGCATCAGTTGCTGTGGAATGCAAAGACGGGAATTCAAAACCAAAATTCAGGAAAGAAGCAAAGACAGACGAACAAGGGGAGTTTAAAGTGCAGCTTCCTTTCTCAGTGAGCAAACACGTGAAGAGAATCAAGGGATGCACTGTGAAACTGGTAAGTAGCAGTGAGCCATATTGTGCAGTGGCTTCAGCAGCAACGTCTTCTTCGCTTCGTCTCAAATCGAGGAAGCAAGGAGAGCACGTATTCTCTGCTGGGTTTTTCTCTTTCAAGCCTCTTAAACAGCCAAACCTCTGCAACCAGAAACCAAGAATTGAGAATTCCAAGCAAGTTGGTTCCTTGAAAACTGCGTTTTCTCCAAACGTAGATTCAACATTTCCGCCACCCATTCAGGACCCACCGACAAGGGATGGTTTTCTTCCTCCTCTTCCTCAATTACCAGAGATTCCTCCTCTGCCACCCCTTCCGAAAATGCAATGGCCATTTCCAGTCCCAGGAAGAAGAGTGAAAAACTCAATCAAACCTCAGTTTTCAGATAGGAAAGTAGCTCGACCTGACACGTTCCCCTTGCCGTCTTACCCAATTCCATTACCGCCAGGTATCCCCAACCCCCGCCTTGGTCCTTTTCAGCCACCTCCTCTGATTCCGAGTCCACCAGGCACACCGCCATTGAACCCTAATCCCCCACCAGGACCGGGTCTAACTCCATCTCCACAGACGGGTCTTCCTCCTTTCCCATTCTGGCCTCCACCTGGTGCACCCCCCGCTGCTTCTTCAAAGAATTCTGCTCCTTGATAAGATGGAATCCATCTATGGGTAGTCATGCAATAATTCCTTCCGCTAGAGCATGTTGTTTACTTTTCTTCGCAAAAGCTAGTAGTAACGTGAAGATGGATAGATGCGCACCGCAAGCTAATCATCATTGAAGAGTTGGGATATGGACATTGTCCTAATAAATAAATAAACATTTGTCGACTCTCTTGAGTGTGGGAATTTGTCTGTCCATGCGATGATCTTTTCGGGGAAAAAACGTTCTGATTAGGTTGTGTCATGAAGACTTGATGCTAAGAGTAAAACGCGGATCACAATATATCAGTTTATTCATGTAAACCAGATTAATGCTAAATCTGTTCATCATATTCATGCGTGGACGGTAAGAATTTGACCTGAGGCGCTATTAATCAACTCATGATAAATCTGTTCATCATATTGCAAATTAAATAATTCCTTATAGACATATACTGATCGGATTTGGAGAATGCATGATAAATCATTTCTATCATATTCACACTATAAATCATTGCTTAAGAAATACAAAAAAAAAAAAAAAAAGCGTTCGGCGAAAACTTAGTTTTAATCGTTATAAAAATAATGAATTTTGATTTTGATCTATATATTTTATTTTTTATTTATTTTTATATTTAATTCGGTTTAAGATTTATGGCTTTTTCTTGGTGACCGTTAGACCAATTCTTTGTTAGTATATACTCCTTATCATTTAAATGTTAGCATATATAATTTCATAAGAATTTGATTTTGAATTTAATTAAACAAAAGAACCAAAATCAAATGCATGGTGATTTTGATTGACAATATCAATTTTAAGTGGAACAATTGATTTTCACTGCTGGCAAAAAAAGTGATTTTCACTAATAAAATCTGATTTTTCAACATTTAAATTCACATTTTATTTCCTTATTTTTAAATATAATCTTGTTAATTGGAGCGAGTGCAATTGTTTTTAAGTGATGCAATTCTCGTTTAATTAGGTGCAATAATATGTCGTTAATAAATAAAAGAATCAAAATCAAAGCCCATCAAAAATATAAATTGAAAAAAGCAGTTCAAATGCGTGGTGATTTTGATTGACAATATCAATTTTAAGTGGAGCAATTGTTTTTCACTAATAAAAGCTGACTTTTCAACATTTAAATTCACATTTTATTTCCTTATTTTTAAATATAATCTTGTTAATTTGAGCGAGTGCAATCATTTTTAAGTGATGCAGTTCTTATTCAATTATGTGTAATATATCTTTTTTTTTTGTTAGGTATGCGCAATATGTTTTTAATTACACGCAAATGATATTTGCATTGAAAGTTTTTGTATGTAATTGAAAATAAGTTATTACATAACATTGGAGAGTGGTTGTATCACGAAGTAATCGTCCTTACAAAGAAATTTTGCCAAATGGGAAGTGTTTCCCCTAATAATTTTACTTGCTATTTGTTGTTGTCATAACTATACATGACTATATGAGCCCTTATCTAATATATTATCTCTGGTTTTTAATATAAAATCTTGTTTGACTTTTATTTTGATTTTAAATACAAGACTCTAATTCACCTTATCTCTCATATTTATATATATTTTTTCAAAATAATCATTTTAACAATAGTAGTTCTAATCAATACATTTGATTAGCAAGGATATTTTAGAAAAGACAACACCTATTTAGGACAGATAACTAACTCAATTTATTTTTTTAATTTTCTCAAATTAGTCAACTAGTTTTTATAATTAGAACCAGAAATAATATCAAGTTGAAAAAAACACATACACTACAAAAAAAAATGAATTGGAATATCTTTTCCCTAGATTGGACAGGGCACGCCAAAAATGAACACAGAAGGCCCGAAGCAAGATAGTGATTGCCTCCTTGGACTTTACTCCTCAGGCATCGCAGATAATGATAAAAACATCAGTCATAACTCATAAGATGCTTTTTTTATATATATATACTCCTCCGGTCCTTAATATAAGACCCATTTAACTAATTTGATTAGATTAAGGAAGTTAGGTAAGTTAGTTAATTATAAGAAAAGTGAGACATTTTTCCTAAAACACCATAATCATTTTTCTTAATACCCCATCTCTCTCTTTTACTTGATTATGGTTGAGGGAGTATTCATAGGGGTAATTTAGAGAAAATTGATAAATATAAGAAAGGGGTCTTATATTTAGGACCAAAACCAACTTGAGAATTGGGTCCTATATTAAGGACCGGAGGAGTATATATATAAAAAGGAAAAGTGATAATTATTAAATTATAAAAGCACTACAATAAACAGGTTAAAAAAAGAGAGAAGGAACGCCTAACATTATTAGCGAATAAATTACAAGTTATAAGATGCTTCGCCTTTATTTTTTGGGGAAATCTAAAAAAACTATCTTTAAATTTTAAAATTTTAAATCAGACTTTCACTAGATTTTAATAATATTTGATAGTATTTAAAAATCAAATAACAACACGTTTTTGTAATTATTCTTAATTCTTAATTTAAAATTTTAGAGTTATTTTTTAAAATTTTTTTTCTTATCTCTTTTTCACCCCTCAAAAAGGACATTTCAGTTTACTCATTTATATGGTGCTTACATGCATAATTGTTTTTATCAAACTTATATGCATAATTTAAACACAGAGAAAGCTAATCTCGATATTAATGGCGCCTTTGACAAACCCGGGCAGTAATTTTAAAAGTAAAAATTCCAAATTTTTTGTATATTTAAGAATTTCATTGTCAAACATTTATTTCTGTACAAGATATATTCGTTACTATTTATTTTTGTTACATGACGGATGAAAAGATTTAAAATGACCCCTCCATTATTTAAAAGAATGAGAATCTTAAATATATGAATCTACTTGTATTTTCAATTTTCACTTTATAAACGATAAATATGAATCGAATAATAACATTATCTTTAAAGCATGGAAAATACGATTTTTTTAAAAAAATTACAAAGTAAAATCCACATAATTTTTCCAATAACACGATCAATATATTTAAATAAAACCTCTACGTTACTTTCACACTAACATCAGTAATTTTTAGATATTTTAAAAATTATATGTGCACAAAACCTTATTATAAAGAGGACGAGACCTTAGTAAAAGTTTATATAGTTATCATTACAAGGTCAAACAAAAGATATAGTTACCATTAAAGCACTTCTACTAATTTATGTCAAGAGTACAATATGCTAAAATATAAAAAAAAATTTATCATTACATACTTATTAATTTTGATGTAAACACTTATTAAAATGGATTTTTTCTGGCCGGATGTAAAATGGCTAACCAAACTTCTATTAGTAGGTTACTTAAAGATCTGTTTGGATCAATGGTTAAAAAAGTAGCTTATTATTAATTTAATTTTTGAAAAAGTGAGTTGGATGATGTGAATTGTGTTTGTATTGGATTTTTATAAAAATTAGTTTGTAAAAGTTAAATTAAGTAGAAAGTGGTTTGGATTATGATTGAATAAAAATATATTTAATTTGTATAATTACCAAAATAGGTATAAGTTTTATTAGATAATGAAAAATAATATAAAATTTTTTACATAATACCATGAATTTAAATTAGTAAGTTTAGTTTATATAATTACCCAAACCAGTATGAGTTTTATAAAATAATGATAAATGAATTTAAATTATTTTAATACAATAAAAAAAGAAGAAGTATGAGCTGTGTCTAGGCGAAACAAGTTTCAATTTGGAACAAGAGGTTTGGGTGAAATAAACGACAGAATAATAGCGGGGGAACGAGAAAAAAAATAAAATTTTCTGACAATTCCAATAATCTTAAACACGATTTCACTTCAATAAGTTACTTCATATCAGCTTATCTTTAAGTTCGTTTCAATCCAGCTTTTTGTGTCCAACTACAATGACTTATAAGCTTTGTCAAACTCCTTTCAACTTTTTAAATGGGCTTATCAGGAAAATAAGTTATTTTTGGGGCTTAATAGCTTAATCAAATAGGGGATAAATTTGTCTCAATTGTTAACCCGATCCCTAAAATCTAATATTTATCAATTAAACTCCTAAAATTTTATAATGGTATACAACTAATCCTCATAACTCAAAAGGAAAAATAAAATCATGAGACTATGAAACTTTTAATGGAGACAAATTCAGGTAAAAAATGTTATTATTCCTAAATTAAACTCCTTTTTTTTTTAGATGCGAAAATTAAACTCAGTTGGAGTAGCCCCACGTGGGATTCGCAGGGTCCAGTGGGGCCCACGTGGCGAAATTATGTGCGTGAAGTACCAGTGTCTGACTGTCTGTCACTATTATGTTGTCAATTCACAACATTAAATGAAATAAAAATAATAATAAATATATTAAATCCGTTCAACCTCGTCGGCTGAAGCCGTACTGTCTTTTTCTTGTTGAAGGGAAGTTAGAGAAACTTCCGAGAGCGGGAGTGCCAAACGGAGCCGCTTCTTTCGCGGCTTTTGATGTAGAACATCAATCTATCCAATCCTGGCCGTTCATCTTCAACCTTTCTCCTAGTATCAGCCCTCTGTCCACGGCGGGGGCTCTGCCTGAACCTCTGCCCTCCCGATTCTGATCTCCCACTTGCCGGTGAGTCTCTTCTTCGGTTTTTGCTTTTGTAATTTTGAATGCAATTCACTTAGCATCGACTCTGTTGTTATTGCTTCTTTCTTTCTTTCTTCCTTCCTTCCGGTTTGAAAAACATCGGGTTGAATTGAGTTTTTATGTTTAATTCTTCTTCCTGGTTTTGGGTTCACATTTCACTTTTTGAGGTATCGAAAGTGCCTTTCCTTCCCCCCCCCCTTTCGATCATGTTTTATTTTACATTGACGTGGCAAAATTCTTCAGTTCTCATAATAGATGTTAAGGATGGGCAGGAATGCGTGGCGGAAATCTCTACTCATAAGATTCTTGCATGTTTGCTCTTACCGGAGCCCGAAGCGGGGGAGAATCCTATCCGATTAATTATTTTTCACTTTAAATCTTAAATGTTTGCACAATAGAACGTTATCCGATTGGATTTATAAATTTGCTGGTAAAAAATTAGGCATGTTAGATATTTGATACCTGAATTATTTTAATCCATTTCTCCAAGCCCTTTTCACCGATTTATCAGTTCGATATGTCTCTTGGTGTTTTTGTGGTTCCTATAGGATTAAATTACTGATCAGTGAATTTCTCGTTGAGTTTTCTTCGAGCTTTCTGGCGTCTAATCACTATGTTGACAACTTGATAATTTTTTTTTTTCAGTATTATTATTTGTTACTCGCGAGTTGATTATTCTGAATGGTATTCGACTGATTCAAGAGTAAATTAATGCTTATTAGAAATGAGACGTCTTTCTGT